CAGAGAGCCTGCAATTGTGTTGCGTCTGATGTAGTGCGCACAGGAGTGTGGCGCGCGCCCCAAGTCTAGCGCAACCGTGCGAATCTGTTGCAACACCCCCTTTCAGCTGGACCCACTTGTGGGTCAACCAGACTGTCTCAATGGAGCCAATGATGCAAACTTTAGGTCGGGCATGTCCTCCTGCAGGGTGATTTTGGGCGAAAATGAACAATACCCCAAACATTCAAAACATATGTTTAAAATCGCAGAAAAGTCGTCCCCTAAGTTGTTCCTCTTAACTATTTTTGAATATTGCTCCTGTAGTGGGACATGCCCGACTTAATGCAAGGTCCGGACGCTGAAGCTACAGGCGACCCGGAAAAGTAGGTCGATCCTGCCAGATCAAGGGTACCCTCGTGTCCTGTGTCTTGCGACCCATGCTTCATGTATTTCTGTGGCAACGTGGCCCTCGGAAGGGTCTTGTGTCCTCTCGCGTGTCCTCTCCAATCGAGTCCGACTGTATCGTGCATCACGACATCTGAGTTTCGGCGCTGTGGGGCCCGCGCCGAGCTCCCAGAGGGCCGCCCCCCCCTCCCCCCCGGGCGCACACGGGCGCCGTGCCTTGTCTTGCCAGCCCATGTGCGTGTTGTGCCGGTCGTGCTGCATTACAGTCAACCCGCATAGTAAGAATGGGCAACCTTCCCAAGGGTACCCTTGCATCCCTGGCTCCTCGGTCCATCCTCGGCCACTTCGTTGGCCGCGCCCCGGTCGGGAAGCTTCGAAATGGGTTCCCAAGGCCCTTGCATCCTTATCGCGCATCCTTACTATACGGGTTGACTGCACAGTGGAGGCCCATGCCAAGCAACACCCTGCTTGCCTGCAGGGTGCCCTGCGTCTCTCGGGTTTCAACGGCTTTGCGATGGAAGGTGCGTGAGCCAAGAATTCGTGGACGCCCTGGGGTCTCAGGGTTGGGTTTCTTGTGGAAGGTTTCTTGTGGACTGGCCTTCACTGTATGGCCAGGCACTTTGACAGAGCGTGTCGCGCCGCCGGTTCTGGCCCACCACGCCTCGGCGCGACATGCTATCCACGTCCCCCGTTTCGAGCTCCAGCGTCCCGAGCCTGTCACACAGCCTCCCATCCCGTGGAGCGGAGCGACGCGCTGTCGGCTCGCGTGGCATGCGTATGGCCAGGGCCGCTGCAGCGACACGCTCAGCGAAAGCTCCCGGTCGTACCCGAGACGTCGGGGAAGTCCGGGCGGGATGCCGCCACGCGCGCGCACTGGAGCTGCGATGAGCCCCATGCCGCAGGTTTCAGCACGCCTTGGGCCCGCTGAGCCGACGAGTTTGGTCATTGCAGCGGCGGGGAGTCATTTGAGAAGCAAGCGCGGACTAGAACTACGATAAACCTTGCACCAGAGATTTTGGCACGCCTCCGTCCGATGGGCCGGCGAATTTGATTTCCCCAGCGGCGGGAATTCATTTGAGAATCGATCTCCCCCGTGCGTGTTCTGCCCTCTGTGGGCGTCCTTCGGGGAAGCCTTCGCCAGGGTGGGCACTGCCTCTGACGCCAAGCCGTCCGCGCTCTTGGAGTTGAACCTCACGTTTCGATCGGGCCCGCAGGCGAAGTTTGGGAGCCAACTAAAAATTGTCAAACAATGTTCAAAGATAGCCAACGAATATTCGAAACATCGTCCACAGACGACGTTTAGGAGAACGGGTAATGACATACACATAAAAACTCGGACGTCCGCGCGGATTTCTCGGATCGGCGCTGGACCCCCTTCTTTGGCGCGCGGAGCGCGCAAGGAACGGCGCCGGAGTTGCCGCCAGGGGGGCCCAGCGCGGATCCGAGAAGTCCGCGCGGACCTCCGAGCTTTTATGTTGATGTCATTGCTTGTTCCCATGATGTTTTGACCAGGGCTGGGTCTGAACGGTGTTTTTGGCGATTTCGTGGGCCGGTTTCGTTTCGACTTCGTCTTGAGGTAAAGGCGGATTCGAGACAAAAGGGAGGGAAAACGAAAACAACACGAAAACGAAAAGCACCGTTTAGGTTCAGCCCTGGTTTTGACCATTTTTGGACATCCCTCCTGCAGAGGGGCACGCTCGGCTGAGCCTCGCAAATCTATAGACGACCCGCACGGGCCTTGCCCCTGCAGTGGAGGCCCCTGCCAAGAGCAGCACCCTGCTCGCCTCCAGGGTGCCCTGGGTTTCTCTCGGGCTTCGATGTTTTTTTGTTGGCGGTGGATGAATGCGCGACGCTGCCACACCAGAAATCGATGGACGTCCTGGGGCGTCTCAGGGTTGGGTTCCTTGTGGGAGGTTTCTTGTGGATCGGTCCCCACTGCATCCTTCCTGCAGAGGGACATTCCTGTCAAGAAAGTAGCACGTTGTAGAGGCCCTCCACCTCCTCATCCGGACGAACTGCGTTCGGCATGTGCACGGGCACGAATCCGTAATTGGGACAAAACAGATTCAACGACCAGCCAAGCTGCTCTGTCGGACGTAGCCCTCAAAGACACCACGGGTGCAGCCCATCGCTTGCGGAGGAATATCGCTGAACCTCACGCCTTCCTCCTCCTCCTATCCCCTCCTCCTCTTCTTCCTCCTTTCACGTTCGACCATACTAACGTTTCCCTGTGGCGTTCAACCTCCTTCTCCTCCTCCCTCTCCTCCTCCTTCTCCTTCTCCTCCTCCTCCTCCTCCTCCTCCTCCTCCTCCTCCTCCTCCTCCTCGCCCAGCCCGTGCTCGGGCGGACGGCGAGCGCGGGGCTGCCCCCCTGAGTGCCCTGTTCCAACCTAATACTTTGGCCTTGGCCACCGGGGAGAATCTCGAGCACCGAGGAAGTCCACCGACACTGGAGGGCGCTCGCGTGTTGGACCCCGGGAGGCGATACTCCTGCGACGCTTTTTCGATACCCATTTTAGCCTTGGCCACCAGGAAGAATCTCGAGCACCAAGGAAGTCCACCGAAACTGGAGGGCGCTCGCGTGTCGGACCCCCGGGAGGCGATACTCCTGCGACGCTTTCTCGATACCTTTCTGGGTGCCCGGAACTCTTCACGGGAGGTGGTCCTCAAGCGCGATGGGAGCAACATAAGAGCACACAGTCCCCCCCCCGGCGTGCAAGAGCGACGTTCGGGTGGAAGCAGACGGCATCCAGAGCCTTTGGGACGTTGGCGGCCCGCCGTGAGGCCTCCCGTGGTTCATCGGCAAAGGACTCTTTGGCCAAGGGTTGACCTGTTTTTCCAGAGTGTTGGCTCCATCTGCTTCTGAGGATGAGAGCCCTCCTTACGTCCCCCCTCCCGCCCTCCACCTCCTCCTCCTCCTCCTCCTCCTCCTCCTCCTCCTCCTCCTCCTCCCTCCTCCTCTCCTCCTCCTCCTCCTCCTCCTCCTCCTCCTCCTCCTCCTCCTCCTCCTCCTCCTCCCTCCTCCTCCTCCTCCTCCTCCTCCTCCTCCTCCTCCTCCTCCTCCTCCTCCTCCTCCCTCCTCCTTCCTCCTCCTCCTCCTCCTCTCCTCCTCCTCTCCTCTTCTCCTCTCCTCCTCCTCCTCCTCCTCCTCCTCCTCCTCCTCCTCCTCCTCCTCTGGCCTCCTCCTGACCCCATGAGTGCGGGCCTGCGGCCGCGCACGGGCCTCCTTCACCGCCCCCCTACGGTCGGGCACAATGGCCCTCAGCATGGTGGCGTGGCGTGCTGCCGCGGCCGCCGCAGCAACACGTTCGGCGGAATCTCCTTCGGCGGTGAGCGAGGGGGAGAGTGAGGAGGGGGAGGAGGAGAGGAGGAGAGGAGGGGAGGAGGAGAGGAGGAGGAGGAGGAGGGAGGAGGAGGAGGAGGAGGGGGAGGAGAGAGGAGGGGGACTAGGAGGAGGAGAGGAGGAGGAGGAGGAGGAGAGGAGGAGGATGATGAAGGAGGAGGAGGAGGAGGAGGAGGAGGAGGAGGAGGAGGAGGAGGATGAGGAGGATGAGGAGGAGGAGGAGGAGGAGGAGGAGGAGGAGGAGGAGGAGGAGGAGGGGAGGAGAGGAGGAGATGAGGAGGAGGAGAGGAGGAGGAGCAGGAGAGGAGGAGGAGGAGGAGGCGGCGGAGGGGGAGGAGGAGGCGGCGGAGGGGGAGGAGGAGGAGAAGGCCTTCTCAGAAGGCAGCGGGACTTCTCAGAAGGCCTCCGGCCCCTGAGGAGTAGGAAGCTTCTCGGAAGGCCGGGGGACTTCCGAGCCTGCTGAGAAGGCCCGCCCCTTCTCGCTTCCCCCCCCAGGGCTCGCCGCCAATTCCTGGTCGTACCCGAGACGTCGGGAAGCCCGGGTAGGGTGCCGCCGCGCGCGTGCGCGCTCTAGAGGCACGATGAACCCCATACCAGAGATTTTAGCACGCCTCTGGCCCGCCGTCCTGCATTATCCAAGACGTTGGCGAAGCCGTGGGGCATGCGGCTGGCACCGGGGCTAAGAACAGCCCTGGCTTTGGGAGGGCAGCCTTACGGTCTTCGCTTTCGGGTCCTCTATTTAGGGGATGTTATTCGTGCTGGACATGTCCATGTAGCCTTGGGCTTTCGGGGAAGGGACTCGTTCTCTCAGCCCACGTCCTTGTGCCCCTATTTCGACTGCGGCGTGCTTCCGGGGCCGCCGCAGCAGCATGCTGAGCCAGCAAGTGCCCAGTCGTCGTCGAGACGTCGGGGAAGCCCAGGCAGGACGGGCACATGCCTCCGGCCATGACTGGCGGCGCCCCCTCTTGGACGCCCCCCTCTTGGGCGCCCACGAACTGCTATGATCTGATTTTGCCAGCGGCGGAGGGCCACTTGAGACTGCTTCCCCGCCGTGCGCTCTCTGCCCGCCGCCCCGCGTCCATCGAGACGTCGGGGGCCTTTTTAAGTCGGGCGTGTCCCCCTACAGGAGGCAACTTCGGGAACAGACCACGAGTCGTGTGGGGACGACTTCTTGAGCATCTGTTGACTGTTCTCGAGCATTTTCGGGGCGCGTCTGATTTTTGTTCGTCCAGAGTCCGCCTGTAGGAGGACACGCCCGACCGAAGCCGAGCCAGGACGCGGGCCCCGACGTGGAGCAGGAGGCGGCCCTGGCCGCCCTGGCGCTGGTCGGCCAGCCCGGCGTGCGGCCGGCCGCGAGCCGCCTTGACCACGGCAGCGCAGGCGCTCCGCTCTGCTCTGGCGGGCCACGCAGCGTCCCCAGACGTGCATGCGTCGTGCAGAGATCCAGGGCGACCACGAGGGGGGGGCTGATGACTGCACGCTGTTCACTTCTAATTATTCGAAGGTTCTTCGATGTTTTGGGGGCCCGAGATCCTTTCGCTTCTCATTCTTCTCTCCTGGGCCTCCTCCTGGCCACAGGGGGGCCAGGAAGAATCAGAAACGAGCACAATTAGAAATGAGCACGATGAGAAATGAACGACATGTAAGGGGGGGTATCATGGCGGGGGCCATGGCATCTCCCCAGATGTCATGGCGCCTTTTCTTGCTTTGATACGTCCCCGGCCCCCCTCCCCCTGGGCCGCGCACGTGCCGCTGGCCATGATTGGCGCCCCCCCCTCTTGGACGCACTCCTCTTGGCCGCCCCCGAAAAAAACATCGGTGCACAATGTTTGATAACCTTCGTGGGTTCCTGGAGCTTGCCCTGCCTCGGGATGCGTTCCATCAGCTGCGCCTCGCCGAGGGCGTGCCGGGGGTGCCTGGACTGTCCCGGGCGGCCGCTGGATCCAGGCCCGAGGTGTTGGCCGAAAGTCGAACATGCTCGCGTGCGTCGCGGACAAAATTGGTTGTCGTCGTCGGTTCCTGGACGTGCTCTTGCCTTGGGATGCGATCCAGCCGAGGGCCTTCGGGAGGCGTCCAGATGGGGTCGGAGCGGATGGGGTCGGGTGATCGCGCCGCATCGCCGATGCACCGTCGATGCGGCTCGATGTGGAGACCGATGATCTCCACGCCGACGTCGCCGCCGCACCGCCGACGTTGCCGATGCATCGCCGATGCGTCGCCAATGTATAGGCGATGCGGAGCGATCCTCCGAACGCACCTCCTCGGTCTCGATTTGGGAGGCATCCCCAGACTCGATCGCTTCTGAAGTCGAGCGCAGTTTCAAAAACGTCCGCGCGGATGTCTTGGATCGGCGTTGCCCCCCGGACGCGCCTCCAGCTCCGCCCCTGGCGCGCTCCGCGCGCGCCAGGCAGGGGGTCGCGCGCCGATGCAAGACATCCGTGCTGGCCTCGGAGAAATGATGTTTATGCCGCTTCTTTCTGTCTCTGCGAAATTCTGCGCAGAAGCGACAATTTTTGCTGCAGCCCATACATGTTTCTTTCCAACGAAGGGTAGCCCATCGCGCTCTCTTCTGCCTACGCGTCCTGCCGGATGATGCTTGGCTTCCTTCGTTTCCTGCTCCTCTGTGAAGAGAGGCGGGGCTTTGGCCCAGACTGTTCCCGTCGTTGGAAACATAGCGACGGGCTGCGCTTGTTTTAAATCGGGCATGTCCCTCTACGGGGGGGAGATTCAAACATGTTCAAAAATAGTGCGGGGACGATTTGTCGAGCAGTTTGTTGACCAGTGTTGAGTGTTGTGTGGCTCTTTCTTCTTTTCCCTTCCACGCCCACCTGTCTGGGGGACATGCCCGACCCAATGCTCGGTGTTGTGCTGAGGCTCCGCAGGCAGGTCCTCGCCGGGGCGTCCTGGGTCCGGCAGCAGACGGCCTCGGGGGACGAAACGTCGGCCCTGGGGCCAGGGTCGGCCTGCGCCGAAACAGTCGCAACGGCCAGTTTGTTTTTGTTTGTTTTGTCTGTCTTCGGCACCTGGGGGCCGCTGCCTGGCCCCCAGATGCCGTGGAGCGACTCGTCGGGATCAAGAAACAGGCCGGCCCAGGGGAAGGGCTCGGTGATCTGTGGGGGGCGACGTCACGAAGACGATGCCACGTCGGAGGAACGGGTTTTGCAAGCCAGCGCGGGCAATTTTATCCGTTTTCGGCCTCTGGGGGCCCTCGCCGGGCCCCGGGACCGCCAAGCAATTGCACAGGATGTCCTTGGCGGAAGTGGCCGACGGCGCCTTTGGCCCAAGGTGTCCCCAGCTTTCGTTCCGCTTCGGAGCTCATGGGGTCCTCTGGGCCCGGTGATCACCCACCCAACCATCCCGACCCAACCCGAAGGCCTGAATTTGCCCTCCACTTCCAGTGGTGGGGGTCAAGGGACATTGAGAAAACGCAGGTGGAACCCGCACCCCCCCCAACCCGGAATTCGGGTCTTCGGGTTTGGTTAGGGGTGGTCTGGTGTGCAGTCAGCTGAGGGGTGCTCGAAGAGATGGGGCCCAGCTGGGTCTCTCGGGAGGCCCCGTGGACGCCGGGGGCCATGGACATCACAACATCCGACTCCGCTCGGGCGGGCCCCCGGTTCACGCGTGGGGCCCTGGACTTCGGGGTGGGGCGCTTTCGGTTTCTTGCTGCCTTCAATGTATGGACTTTGTTGTCTTTTCTAGTCGGAAGCTGGAGCATATGCATTTCCAGTGGCGGGCCGCTTTTCAATCCCCGGACTTTTGTAGGGTCGAGGGCGACATCGGGGTGGTGTGGTGTATACTTGTACCCCGCTGTCCCGAGGAAACAACGAAACATGTATACACCAGGATCCCGTATACACCAGGATCCGCTTTCCTGTGCGAGTTGCAGTGCGGGGCCGGAAAAAGCGTCGGTGTATAGAGTTCGACTTCCTATCTAGAGGAGCAGAAGGTATACCGACGCCACAGCACCTCCCTAGTCGTCACGGCTGCATGCTTCGAAATCCGGGTCAGAGTGCACCTCGAGGGAGGTCGGGGGAGTGGTGACAGTGGCGGCATCGGTATCGGTTTGTCCCATGCGCACGTCGGCCTCGCGAGAGGGCGTTGGCGTGCCCCAGGGCCATCACATATTATCTTTGGACGGAGCATGGCGATTGTATCTGCGTGATCCATGAACAGAGCGTGAGCGAGTAACTCTGGTGACCCAGTGTCTCGAAATGATGCCCACGAGGAGGTCGGCCAGCGGTGCCCTGCTTGTGATTGCCCTGCGAGAGGAAATCTATTGAACTCTATTGTTGCCCGTGGGGAAGGGTTCGAGATGCTCCTAGGGCCGTGGCCTGCGCCCGCGGATTCCCGAAAGTGTGGGACCACCAGGGCGGGCCAGACACTCCAAAGAGGGCCTCCCTGGTAGAGCAAGGGCACCGCACAGAGATGGTATTTCGGATATCCGCGTGAACGTCCTGGTTTTGCGGCGGGGCCTCCCCGCCCCCCAGAAATGCGTGCGGGACCCCCGAAGCTCATTTCCGTGCCTCCTCTTATATAGTGGGGGCCCGTGCCAAGAAACACCCTGCACGCCTCCAGGGTCCCCTGGGGTTCTTGGGTTTCCATGGCTCTGGTATGGAGAGTGTGACGTCCCCACACCAAACATGAATGGACGTGCTGGGGTCTCAGGGTTGGGTTTCTTGGGGAAGGTTTATTCTGGTTGGGCCCCTACTGTATCCGAGACGTCGGGAAGCCCTGGTAGGGTGCCGCCGCGCGCGTGCGCGCACTAGAAACATGATTAATCCCATTCTGGAGATACTAGCACGCCTCTGGCCCGCCGTCTTGCATTACCCAAGACGTTGGCGAAGCCGTCGAGCATACGGCTGGCACGAGGGTTGAGGACAGTCCTGGCTTGGGGAGGGTAGCCTTGCCTTCTTCGCGTTTGGGTCCTCTACCTGGAGGTGTTCTTCGTTCTTGACGTGTCCGTGTCTCTCTTGTGGAGGGTTTCTTGTGGATTGGCCTGCGCTGTATTCTGCCCTGGGGCCTCGCAGGGCCCCGCGAGCCGGTCGCGAAGCGTCCCTCCGCCACCGTGGCCCCCCTGGCTCGGTTTGGCGCGGCAGGGTGCCCGCCCGGGGCTGCTTCCAGGGCCCCCCCCCTCGACTGGCAGACACCGAAGGACCAGACGGCATGCATATGAACTGTTGGAGTCCGCGCGGAGTTCTTGGATCTGCGCTGGCCACCCCCCTGGCGGCGCCTCTGCCGCCGCCCCTGGCGCGCTCCGCGCGCCAGGGAGGACGGGCCAAGAAGCCTCCAAGATGGCCCCAAGGCGGCCCAAGGGGGCCGCCAAGAGGGCCCCAGGATGGCCCACTGGGGGCCCACGATGGCCCAAAGGGCCCCCAAGACGGCCCTCGAGGGCCTCCGAAGAGGTCCGAGACGGTTTTAGAAAGCGCTTAGACGCCCAAGACGGCGCCAAGAGGTTTCTACGACGGCCCCATGACCCCCCCCCATAGGGCCAAGAGGGCCCCAAGACGGCCCAAGAGAGCCCCAAGACGGCCTGGTGCCCAAGAAAGCCCAAGAGGGCCCCAAGACGGCCCCAGTGGACCCTAGACTGCCCCACAGGAGCTCAAGACGGTCCGAATGTCTTGAATGGGAGCTCCTCAGGAAGTGAAAACGAAATGTGCCACATGTGGCTCGCCTCCTGCTCTTCCTCCTCCTCCTCCTCCTCCTCCTCCTCCTCCTCCTCCGCCTCCTCCTCCTCCTCCTCCTCCTCGTCATCACCCTCAGCATCCTCATCATCCCCATCGCCGCCCTCCCAAGCTTGGGGACACGAGGAGTCACACGTCACGGCATCCCGGGCCCCTCGAAGAGTCGTCACCCAGAATGATGTCCCGCCACCGTGCCAGCCCAGCATTATCTCTCCCCTTCTTCCTTCCCCGTCTTCTCCTCCTCCTCCTCCTCGTCCTCGTCCTTGTCCTCCTCTTCTCCCCCTCCTCCTGCTTGTCCTCCTTATGTCACTCCGTTCCTCCCTCCCCATCCTCCCCATCCTAACCCTCCTGCTTATCCCTTTTCCGCTTCCTTCTCCTCCATTTGCCCATCCTCCGGCTCTTCCGTCCCCCTTTCCCCCTGCTGCCGCTCCTCCTCTCCCTTCCCATCCTCCACTTCTCCCCCCCGCTCCCCTCTCCACGTCCGGCCCCCCCCCGTCCTCCTCTCGATTCCCTTCGCCCCTCAACCTCGCCCCCTATACAGGTGTCAGGCGCCGTGCGGCCGCAACGCTCCAGCAGCTTGCTGCGTGGGCGAAGGAGCACGCGAAGGATCTGGCCAGACTCCTGGGCGACAGGGAGGAGGACTGACGGATGCCGGCACCGAAGGGGGCAGGGGAAACGAGGAGGAGGAAGACGACTTGGTGGCAGCCTACCCTTCCGCCCTCGGCAACTGCATCATAGACCTGATGCGCCTCTCAGCTACGCTGCAGGAGGAGGAAAAGGAGGAGGAGGAGGAGGAGGAGGAGGAGGAGGAGGAGGTGGACGACGGCGACGACGGCGACGACGACGACGAAGCGACGGCAGAACACCAGCGATGCGCGGGAAAGATCGGGCAGCCCTTCCAGAGGAAGGGGGCCTGCTCTGGAAAGGTTCGATAGAGCAGCACTTGTGGAGCGGTGCTGCAGTCTCCCCCCAGGGCACGGGTCAGAGAGGGGCATTACCGATATCGCTACCCTTCGCCAGTTGTCCCCTGTTTCCGCCTCCTGGAAGGCCATCGTCGCCACCGCTGGATTCGCTTCGGAATCGTGGTCAGAACGCACCCTAGGAGAGGTCCAGGAAGTGGCGGTATCGGTACCTTTTGGTTTCTCCAGGGGTCTGGAAGGAGTGTTGGAGACTCCGGTCGGAGTTCGGTGGCTCAGGGCCGCACACATTGGCAGGGCGATCTGTAGAAGTTCATCTCTCGCTGTCGGCCGTGGATACGGGCGCCAGATGATGCGCGCTGACAGGCTGATCAGCTTCTCGCGGATCTCCAGGCCGTGCCCAGCACATCTACAGTCAGGGCCCGGGCAGCTTTGCGCCAAACGCGTGCGAGGCTACGTGTGTCTTTTTTGTGGAGCGGGCCGCGCGCCATGTTAGCACCGTTCGCGGGACCGTCCACGGAGAGATGCGGGGGTGGCCCGGCGTTCGCCTCGGCCGCGCCTTCGTGTCGAGCGAGAGGCGATTTCCCAGGCGCGACCGGATCGGGCCGAGAGGAACGCAAGCGGAGTCTCATCTGTCGTGTTTCGTATCCTGGCCCCGCCCTGGATGACGTTTATCGTCTAAGCGGGCCTCCTTCTTTCTTCCTCCCTCCGCGGTCGGTCGTCCTCCTCCTCCTCCGCCTTTTCCTCCTTCTCCTCCGTTTCAAGCCGTTGAGGTCCAGGCATTTGAAAGGGTCGACTCTTGTGCTTGCACGGGTATTATGGGGCCCACAGAGCAAGGTTCCGTTTCCCTTCTTGAGGGCGCCAGTTATTCGTTACCAAATCAAGAGCTCAATCACGCCATGTCAGGGTTCTTCGACAGGAACGCTCGTCTGCGAGGTCGTTGCCAGTCCAGGAGGTGCGAGTGGAACGACCAGCTCAAGAACAAGGATTTCTACTGCGGGGAGTGCCAACGCAAGGTCAAAGCTCTTATTCTTAAGAGGTCGACGTCCAGGTTGGATTCCCTGCGTCATGCTTCATTTGCCGAGGAGCCTGAGGTCTGGGAGGTCTCTCAGGATGAAGGGGTCCCTCGGCGTGGTGCTGTTGCTGCTGTTGCCACGGCAAACGCACCAACGTCAGCGCCCACCTCGGTCGCCGACCACGTCATCGATGCTATGAGGGGCACGATCGATCCCGAACTCAAGAACTTGCTCAAGGGGGGGATCGACCAACCTCAGATGCAGTCCACGTCGAGCGCTGGCTCTCCCAGGTGTAACGGCCAGCTACCAGCGGACATTCACCAGATGGCCTGTAACCACAAGCGTGACCAGGCAGCGGCCAAGGAGAAAAAAATGGCGGAGTCTTTAGCGTCGGCCGCCTTGGCCAAGACGAGGGCTGCAGAGGCGCTTGTCAGGGCAGAAGGAGTCGGGGCTCAAGGTGCTGCGCCCCCATCGGAGGCAGCATTCCCGGACATCTGGGATTCTGGCATTTTCAGTGATGTGGACCATTTGGACTGCGAGGAGGTGGGGAGGAAGCTTCGCCAGATCCACGCCGACCTTCTCAAGGTCAAGGGATTTTCCTGTCCAAGAACGCGGAGGCCAAGCCTTGGACGGACAAGGTTGCGACGGTCAAACGGGCCATCGACTCGCGGCTCGCCGCCAAGAAGAGGTGTGTCGACGAGGAGGGCGGCGCTGAGACGGCTGCCGCGGGGGCTTCAGGAGCTAGTCGCGATGCTGGCGCCAAGGGGAGCAGCAAACCCAAGGCGGCGGCTTCGGCCGCTTCGGCATCGGTGGGGACGGCGGCGGATGCGCAGGCAGTCAAGGAGGAGGCGGCCAGACATTCGGCGGCCAAGTTTGCAGCGGCGGAGAAGGCCGAGCAGCAGCAGGCGGCCTCGGACGGCAAGGGCGCGGGCATAGGTCCAGCATCGACGCCGACGTCGGCCCCTGTGTCAGCGGGCGCAGCCTCACCATCGACATCTTGAAAGTCAGCGCCACGCGCCGGGCTCGGTGATCAGCATCCTCAGCTGGAGCCGCGCGTCGAGGCACCAACTTTGTTTTCAGTGGGTTCCGATGGCATGACTGAGTCCGTCGCAAGTATCTTGTTTCGCGAACGTCGCGCTCATGGGTGATCGTGCGTGGTCGCACCTTTTAGGTCGATCGGCGTCGCATCAGTATTTGGGATGCGGCGGGACTCATGTTCTTCAGGATCAGTTGCGCACATGGGATGCTGAGGTGAGTTTGAGAACGTTGCGATTGGTTGTGGATGCTGGCCGCCCCCCCGGGCAAGCAAGGTGCATTTGCGGAGCGTTCCAAGTAGGGAGGAGAGTGACTTCGTGATCTTCAGGTGGAGATGCTTGACGAGGCCATGCTTTCAGGGGCCCTCGAGGCCGCCGGGCCCGACGTGCTGGGCGGCTTTACGGCGACGGCATTGGGGAACTCCCACGTGTACCACGCGTGCTCCAGAAACGAGGGCCGCCAGATACTCCAGGGCTGGACCAGCACGCAGTTTTTCTAGATTTCGGCTGTGTTCTGTTTTTCGTTTTTGCAGGGAGGCACAGGAAAACAGGTAGAGCAAAACGAACAGCAAAACGAAGGCAACACGAACAACAACGTTGAGGTCCAGCCCTGAGATACTCCTTGGAAAGCCTGAGGCGCATCCTGCGCCAATCCGATCTTGACACCATCTTCGTCCAGTGGGGGTCGGAGCTAAGCCTCCAGACGCCCGTCGAGGAGCACGCTCCTGGCCAGGACGTCGAGGCGGATCTGGCCGTGGCGGCGGGGGGCCCACCGGGAAGCCCCGAAAAAGGGCGAACAAGATCGAAGCGCCTCGAGTCGCGAACCTCTCCTGGGCCACCCGCTGATCGTGCTTCGTGTTGTGGAGGGCGATCAATGGAGAGGAAGCACGTTGCCAAATAATTCCCAGGTGTCTCGAACCTGCTTGAAAACTGATTAAGCATGTGAAAAATTGTTGAAAACATTGTCAGGACATGTTTCCGTCATTCTAAACACATGTTTCACTCGATGATCGGATCGTTCGGGTGCCCATTGCCGTGGCATCCACAAGCTTCGTGCAGCCTGGCAGATATATCGCGCTTCGCGCGTCGTGGTCTGGGCCACAAATCGCCCGAGAGGTTGCTCTTCTCCAAGGGGGCGGCGCGTTGGCGCGGGGGTTCGAGGGTGACCGCGCGTCGCGCATCGCGTGGCGCGATGTGCGGCGGCAGGCGGCCCAGGAGTCTCGATCCTCGCACCTCACCTCGAACGAGGAGGAGCGAGGGCCGAACATGTTTCGGAGATCCGTTGAGGAGCACGTGTTTTGTACGCGACCCAACAATGTATGTTTTGAGGGCGCCCCCCCGAGGACGTCCGGCTCGCCGCGGTGCAGGCGCTTGTCGCCCTCGGCGGCGACGGCGCCGGGGCCCTGGCCAGCGCGGTGGCGTCCCCCAAGGACGCTCCCAGCCTGGAGCGTGCGGCCGGGAACGTCTGCTGCGCGTGTCGCGCCGCGGGTTCTGGCCCACCCGTCGCGCCGCGGGCTCTGGTTCTGGTCGCTCGTCGCTGGTCGTGGCGCGCGAGCCGCGCCCCAGAACCCACGCGTCAACGTCCTGAGCTTGCCCCAGCCGCCCGCTCCGCGGATCGGGCTGGGGGAGAAGGGGGGGGATGGGGGGAAGGGGGGGTCACAACGTCTGCCGCATGCAGTTGGCTTCGGCCCCGCCGCCGGGCCCATGCCTCGATACCTGGGCGCCTCCCGGCGCCGGGGAGGCGCCGGGAAAGTCAGCTGCGCGAGCTGATCCTCAAAGAACCCCCCCCTTTTGCTGTCCCCCCCCCTTTCGCCCGACCCGAGCGGCGCGGAGCGACGCGCTATCTATCAGCTCGCAGGGCGCAGCGTGCCGCCGGGCCCGCCGCCGTGGCACGCGCAAGCGAAAGTTCCAGGCGGCATCCCCCTCTCCCTTGGGACTGGCATGCCACCCTTCCTCGGCGCCGGTGGTGAGGATCCCTTCAGCCTCTGCGGGCACAGCCCCCATTCGGGTGCAGCTCCTGGGAGGTCGAAGTATGACTCTGCCCTGGTCCGTACTCCGGCCTGGTCCAGCGTAAGCCCGCTCGATCTGGCGGAATCCCGCTTGATCCCAGTCAGTCCCGCTTAATCTGCGGCCCAATCCGGCGCAGCAGCCCCCCGATGGGGCTCAACTCTCCCTCATCCTTCCGACGGAAGCCTCCCAGCAGTCGCCTCTCCAGACATGCGGCGTCCGGATTTTTTCAGGACGGCGTCCCCAGAAGTTGCCAGCCCCTTTCCCTGGAGCCGGTTTGTCATCCTGCGTCGTTTTTGTTACGCTTCCGAGGCCCAGCGAGGGTCCCCCGAGGCCGAATTTGGCCCAAAACCTTCCGCCTCGATTTTTTTTCGCGACGCCATCTTGTCTGGGCCCGAACCCTGAGACTGCAGTCGCTCTGGGCTTGCCAATCTCGGGGTTCCGTAGACGCGCTGACAGTGAGTTAGCCGACGGCGAAGTAGGACATCCAACGGGTAGGACGGCGTGGTTCCTGGCCGAGCCCCTTGCAGGAACTCGTGGTTCGTGCTTTCCTACACTTCGCTGCGTCGTTCTCGCTCCATACTTGCGCACATTTGAGATGCCCATCCCCAGCGGCGTGGCCTGAGCCCCACTGGCCGATTGACCCCCCTAGACGGGGATATAGGCCGTTCCCTTCGGGTTCCGAGGGGTATGTCCCCCACTGGGGGGGGGGAACTTGGTGGGGGCCTCGAAGAGGATAGGGGAGGGGGATGGGGATCGGATAAACGATGCTGAGCAACGGAAGGCCGGGGGGCCCTCGGCGGGGCCAGGACGTGGTGAAGCTCCACGCGCTGCAGGGCCTCGGCCTGCTGGGGCCCGCCGCTGGGCCCCACGCCGTGGCCGTCGCGAGGCCCCGCCGCCGCCGCCGCCGCTGCCGCAGTTGCCGCCGTGCGCGGTCGTCGCCGTCGTCGTCGTCGTCGTCGTCGTCGTCGTCGTCGTCGTCGTCGTCGCCGTCCCCGTCGGCGCCTCGCGCGCGGGCGCGGTGGAGGAGTCGTGGCGTGGCTCTTCCGCCCCAGCTCGGGCCCTGGACCCTGCACGGGTGCACCGAGCTCGGGGGCGCCCCGCGCGGAGAGGGGGCCGGGAGCTCCTGTGCTTTTGGATTCACGAGGCAGTGCTTCTGTCCACGACGTCGGGCGTCGGGTTTGATCCCTCGGCTCTGAGGAACAGGGGGCTGGCCACTCAGCACTGAAGCGGGCCTGCGCCAGGCCACGTGTAGGTCGAGAAGCGGTTTTCCCTCATTTTTCTTGGCGTCAGTTGAGCCTTTTACGCCTTGCAGGTGTCTGTCTGATTGGTAACTGGCCCCCTGGTTGTTGGAGTAGCGGGCCCAGCGTCGCGCGAGGCTCATGGACTACCCTCATGAGAAGGTGAGCGCCGCCGCCAACAGCACCATCGAGGGGCTCGGTGCGCCAGGCGCCGCGGCACTGTGCGCCCACCTGAGGAGCGACCAGGCGGACGCACGTGCCAACGCCGTGCAAGCCCTGTCCAAGCTCGCCGACGCCGGCGTGGACATGCTGCCCTTTGCGGACACCGGGCGACGAGGTTGCCGTATGCCTGTCCGCCGCCCCTGGGGCCAGCCCCAGCCGGGGCCCAGGACCGGTGCACAGGTGCGCTTGCTTCCCTGCAGGGAAGCAAGCACACCTGTGCACCGATGGCTTGACCATGGTCAAGCCCCCCCTGGCTTGATCATGGTCAAGCCAGGGGGGGCGGGGCTGCGTACGCACCGCTCCCGCAGCCCAGGACTGGGTCTGGCCTGGGGCGGCGCCACACGAAGCGACCCCGCCGCCCCGCAGGACGCCCTCGTGGCTGGCCTGGCGGACCCCGACGGCGCACTGCGCGCCCGGGCCGCCACGGCGCTGGGCCGCGCCGGGCCCCTGGCCGCGCCGCTGGCCGCAGAGCCGCTGGCCGCGCTGCTGGGGGACGGCGCGGCCCTGGCGCAGGTCGGGTATAGCCAGAACCCCAGATGAGGGGACCCGGTTAGTGGTAGGGCCTCGGAGCCCTTAAGTTGGCCAGAATCACTAAACCAGGTCTGCCGTAGCTGGTGTTTTTTGGGGGTGACGGCAGTTCCGGTTAGTGGAACGGGGCGGGGGGGGGGCGTCCCCCAGTACACATCACTAAACCAGGTTCCACTAAACCCAGTTCTGCCCACGCCCGAGCAGGGGCGCGGCGAGGAGGCGCTGTCCAAGATGGGCGTCGGCGGCGTGGCGGTGCTGCTCGGTCCTCCGGGGGGGCACGGCCTGGCCTCACGTCGGGCGCGTCCCTCTACAGGAGGGATCTTCCAAGATAGTGGAAAAAATCGTATGGGGGCGAATTTGCTTTGGCTACCTTTGACTATCTGGCGTATTTTTTGGCGTGTTTTACATTTTCCCTTCGACATCCGCCTATAGGAGGACATACCCGACCTAAGCCTGGCCGGAGGCCGCCGTGGGTGCGTTCTCGGCAGGGCGCTGCGTCGACGAGCGAGGCTCGGTCCATGGTTGCCCCTGCTGCTGCCCCAGACTCCCGGGCGCCGGGGGGCGTAGGGCATTGGTAAACTAGGGGGAAAACAAACCTACCTCGCTTTTGACCACCCTCGCTTCCAAGAGATACCAAACGATGCCAAACTACGGCCTGTACTGGTCAGGCCGCTTGACGAGGAGGCGTATGGTATGACTTGGTTTTACCTGGAAGCGAAAGCGGGGTAGGTAATTCACGCTCTGATAAACAGCGTGGTTCCAGAGGTCTGAATCTTATCCATGCCAGCGCTCTGGCACTCCGCTGCAGGCCGGGGTCTTGAACAGGAGCACGACCGGCGGCTGTCAGACGCTGCCGGCCTCCAGGGGGGGGGGCCCTCGCGGGGCCCCGGGGGCCGTCCGAAAACGAAGCACTTGCTATTCGTTGAGGGTCTCCGACCAACGGTAGTGAACAAGCTACCGAAGAACACCCCGAGTAATTGCCCCCCACATATGCCCAATATACTCAAAATGAATCCAGACCAATAATCCAAACATAATATATTGAAACGTAATATTATTACGCGCAAGCCGAAAACAATTATCGCACACCGAAAATTATTATCATGTACACCGAATATTCCCATCGCTTTAGGAGAACAACACGCACCACACCCCACCGTTTGGGCTTTTTCTGTCTTAGACTCCTCGTCTTCTATCCCACAAAGGGTCCTACATCGCTGTCCTCTTAGTTTTCATGATTCTACTCCTCGTCTTCTATCCCGCCCTCCTCTTTCTCCTGGTCACACCTGTGCGCGCGCGGCCCAGATTCAGACCGTCCCTTCGTTGCCTTCCTCATTCCGCCCCCCCCCCCCCCACTTTTTCGTTCCTCCTCTTGGGGGATAACTCAAGGGAGTGGCGGCAGGAGGAGGAAGAGGGCGGACGGAGGGGGGGCGACGGGAAGCGGAGGCGCGACTCACGTGGCGGAGGGAGGGGGCGGAGACGGAGGGGGCGTTGGATGGGCAGGGAGGGAGGTGAACGCAGCCCTGCTCTCCTCCTCCTCTTGCCGCCCTCCTCCTCCGTCGTCGTCTGCATCCCCTTCTTTTCCCGCTTCGGTTTCCTGTCTCTGCTCTTTCCTCCACCCCCCGTCACTCCCCGCTCGGGTCTTTCCCTGGCCCGAGATGTCGATTTTCGACATCGCCGCGGCAGGGGGGGCCCTGCCGTGGCTCGGCGCCCTCCCTGGAGGGACCGCCGGGGCGCCCGCGGCCGATTCGGCGGGCGAGGCGGCGGCCGACGCGGCGGGCGAGGCGGCGGCCGCCGCTGCGGGCGCGGCGGCGGCCGCCGCTTTTGGCGCGCTGCCGCAGCGGCGATCCGGGCAGCAGCGCCCCCGCCCCCGCCCCCCGCCCCCCGCCCGCCGCCTGTCCGTGCTGGAATCAGCGTACGACGGCCTCGCCGCGAGCCACAACTCGCGGCACCCGGGGCGAACGGGGGTGGATGGGGTAGGGACGACGCTGCAGGATGAGACTACGTGCGGCCCCCCGCCCCCTCCCCCACGCCCCATCCTCCCCATCCTCGTCCTCCGCTCCTTCCCCCCCCCCTCTTTCTCCTCCGCCAGCCGCTCCCCCCAACCCATTCTTCTTTGCTCACCCTTGTCCCTCCTGCGCCCCCCCCCCCATCTTCTGGCTCACCCTCATGGCCCAACTTATCCCCCCCCCTCCCACCGCCCCCTCACCCCACCTTCCCTTCTCCAGCCTCCTGACCCCCCCCCTCCCCCCCCGCTGATCCTGATTCTGGTTCTCCTGATCCTCTCCTCCTGGCCGCCTGCCCCAGGCAGCTCCGCGTGGGCGACCTCGCCGTGCCCCGCGGCCGCCTGGGGCTCGTGAGGAACGGCCGCATCATTCACAAGCGACGCCGCCTGCGTGACGGGCGGCGTCGCACAAAACACGAGTGGGACTCCACCCTCTGCCAAGCAGCTGCATACCGGAGCCTCTCCAGCGGAGGGCGACCTAGAGCGGGTAAGGTTCATGGGGTCATCGAACTCGTCCTGTTGTCGTCGTCCACCTCCACCTCCACCCCCTTCTCCTCCCCCTCCCCCTCCCCCCCCCTCCTCGCCCCCCCCCAGTGTTTTTGTTGTTTTTTTTTGAATCTCTCTCTCTCTCTCCTCTCCTCTCTCTCTCTCTCTCTCTCTCTCTCTCTCTCTCTCTCTCTCTCTCTCTCTCTCTCTCTCTCTCTCTCTCTCCCTCTCTCTCTCTCACTCCCTCTCTCTCTCTCTCTCTCTCTTCGCTCTCTCTCTCTCTCTCTCTCTCTCTCTCTCTCTCTCTCTCTCTCTCTCTCTCTCTCTCTCTCTCTCTCTCTCTCTCTCTCTCTCTCTCTCTCTCTCTCTCTCTCTCTCTCCTCGCTCTCTCTCTCTCTCTCTCTCTCTCTCTCTCTCTCGCTCTCTCTCTCTCTCTCTCTCTCTCTCTCTCTCTCTCTTTCTCTCCCTCTCTCCTCTCCCCGTGCGTCGTGCCCCCCCCATTCTTAATCTTTGTGTTGTTATCTCGCCATTCCCACTCTCCTCCGTCCTCCTCCTTGCCCCCCACCCGCCCCCTTGTCGCAGCCCAGGTTGCGATGGGCAAGACGCGGCGCTCCCTGCTGCTCGCGTCCGCCGTCGCACGCGTCACCCAGAGAGCGCTGGACGCGGCGATCGCGGCGCGGTTGCAGGAGCACCCGGCGTCGAGTGAGCGAGCGCGGGGACGTAGCGAGAGCAGGGCGGGGGAGGGGGGCGAGGGGGCGGAGGCGGAGGCGGATGAGGTGCCCACAGAGGAGGGGGGGTGGGGCGGGGGAAGCGGCGGAGTCGGAGGTGGATGCGGAGGAGGAGGAATGGGGGATGGGCGGTGGGGGGGGGGGATGGGGGGGGGAGCAGCAGCAGCAGACGCAGGGGCAGGCGCAGGAGCAGGAGCAGAAGGCGCATGCGGAGCAGGAGGAGGTGCAGGATGAGGAGCAGGAGACGGGGTAGGAGGAGGACCAGGAGGGCGTGCATTTAACGAGCTGGAGGTCGACGACGGAGGAGGTGCGAGCCAACCGTTTGCTGCCCATGAGGAGCCCAGGCTTGCTGGTATCCTGGTCTCGCGCGGCTTCGACTGCACCCCCTGGCGGGTCCGCTTCGGGCATCTGCAGGTCCGCGTGGCCCCGCATGCGAGATACCTGATCAAGGACCTGCCCCTTGCTGCTCGCCGTCGTCGCACTCGCTGCGCCAGTAGGCGTACCCTGTCCCTCCGTTTATCATGGTCCGTCCCTTTGCTGCTCGCCTAGCACGGCACCCGATTTCCTGTCAGGTTGCCCTCTCTCGGGTGCCCAACCCACCTCGCGTGCGCGTCGCTGGGGAGAACGAGCCAGGATATGGATGACAGAGCGGGCCTGAGAATGCGGAGCCACGGCGGGCCTGAGGAGGGCGGGCGCGATCCTACCCGCCCCCAGGACGCCGACTCTGGCGATTGGAAGACCATCGATGCCGCCGCGTTCATAGAGCAAGGGCATGGTGCGGTCTTGCCAGAGCGCGGCAGCCTCGAGTTGCTCGGCATCAAGACCCACGTTGCCACCGTCGATCAGGACACCTTTGGATCGTGAGATCGGGTTGGGAGCCGTCGCGATGGATGGAGGTGGAGGGGAGGCAAGGGGGTTGGGAAGTGACGGCGGGGGGAGCGACATGAGGTCGGGGGGGGGGGGGGGGGGGGGGGGGGGGTGGGGGGAGGTGGGGGGGGGGGGGGGGGGGGGGGGGGGGGGGGGGGGGGGGGGGGGGGGTGGGGGGGGTGAGGCGGCGGGACTGGCGACGCAGAAGGGGGGGGGCGGAGGTGAGGATGACGCGGGCGGGGGGGGGGGGGGGGGGGGGGGGGGGGGGGGGGGGGGGGAAAATTCAGGAGGAGGAGGAAGGAGGAGGCGTGGAGAGAGACGGGCGAGTAGGAGGGGTGGGGATGAGCGGGAGGGAGGGTGCGGGGGGGGAGGAGGGGGGTGGGAATGAGGAGGACGGAGTCGGTCGCGCCCCCCCCCCCCCCCCCCTCCCGCCCCCCCCCCACCCCCCACACCCACACCCACACCCCCCTCCAGCCCAAGGACGGCGTGGTGAAGCGCGCAGAGGTGCCGACCGCCGCGTCCTTCCTGGAGAACAGCAAGGCGAGCACGATCCTTGAGGGCCTCGAGTCGTCCAACGCGGCCCTGAGCCTTGACGGGCTTGCGTCTCTGGCCGCGTCGGCGCCCTACCTTTTCCTTAGCCAGGTCCCAGACAAGGCGGCGAGCAACGGGCGGGCGCTGGCATACATCCACGGGCAGATGCTCTCAAAGGGCAACATCCTTGAGAACCCCATCGAGTGCTGCGCTGTGCACAGCGTGCACACGACGATGGTCCACGCCGTGTGCGAGGATCGTCGCGGGGGGGATGCGCGCCTGGATGGCGGGGAGGCTGGGGACGAGGACGCGGAGAGTGAGGAGGATTAGGGGGGGGGGGGGGGGATGCAGCGGGAAAGGGGGGGGGATGTGGAGGAGGAGACTGGGAGGGAGTGGGGGTGGGGGGGGGGAGTGCACGCCACAGACGGAGGGGGGGCGGACGGCGGGGCACGCGGTGCAGGGGTGGAGGCTGACAGGGAGGTGGCGCAAACGGGATTTCACCCCTCCCGTTCTCGTTGCCCCTTCGTGCTCCGCCGCCGTTCCCGACCTCCTCTCAACGCTCGACCCCCTTCCAGCGTCGCCGCTCCGCGCGTGCCCCTGATCGAGTCTGCCGGCCCGCATCAGGAGAAGTTGATCGGGGACGTG